GAAATAGCTGCCAATTGGAGTACTTATAGAAGGAGACATTAAGCTGTGGTGGGAGAGGGAAGGGGTGGAAAGGCACTTAGATGGTTTGAAGATCTGTTCTTTTCAAAACTTCTGTGTTCTTAAGCCTTTCTGTGGAACTTGGCAGCCTAGCCCAGCCACCCAGCAAGGCAGATTCTTTCAAGAGAGAGATGGCAGAAGACGGAATTGGGAAAAACAGACAAAGCCTTTCATTGTCCTGAAGCAATAAAGGAGGCCAAAAGTCCCCTCAATGCCTGCATCTATTTCTTTATTTATGCCACAATCCCCAAGGCACACTCAGCTAGGGAAATAAGGCCCATTGAATAAAGGATCACACTGAAAGAGGATTTAGGCTGCTTCAGATGATAGCTGCTCAGAAGGATTAGGGATGTTTTAAAACACCGCTGCTCCCATCAAAACCATCTTTTACAAGTGCCACATAATGTTTGTTCTGCAATTCTGAAGAAACCAATCTTTTAGCATGGTGGCCCCTATTATTTGGAACTCCCTTGGAACTCCCTGCCTATTGATATTAGGCAGGAACATGAACTGCACAGTTTTCAACACCTGTTCTCATCATGTTTTCTTTTTTGCTCTGGCAAGCCTACCCAGACACTTCTTATTATGCACATTTGTTTTTAAAATCTATATTTTGATGATTTTATTAATCTTCTGCTTTTATTACTATTCTTAATGAATATTTTATATCATCTTATGCAAAATATGCTGAGAGGAGTTTATTTTTTTAAAAAAAATTAAGTAGAATATTAATCTTGCTAAATGAATAAAGCAAATAATTAAAAAAAGATTAGGCAAATTCGTGGAAGATAAGGCTGTCATGGCTGTTGGTCATGATACCTATGTACTTGCTCCAGTATTGGAGGAAGTATCCCTCCAAATACCATTTTGGTGCCAGCGTCAGAGCCAGCTTGGTGTAGTGGTTGGAGAATCGGACTAGGACCTGGGAGACCAGGGTTCAAATCTGCACTTGGCCATGAAGCTCACTGGGTGACCTTGGGCCAGACACTTGCTCACAGACTAACCAAACTCACAGGGTTGCTGTGGGGGTTAAATGAGCTGGGGGTGAGCCACATACACCACCTTGAGCGGTATATAAATGCAATTAATTAATTAACCCAGTTGCTTGCACTTCTGGCTACTGATCAAGTCATTTTCGTTGGGTGAGGACTGCAGGGCCTGCTCCCTTCCAGGGCCTTTTCCAGCTGGCCCGGGGGCGTGGCCAGGCCCTCTCTCCCAGCTATAAAGGGACTCCTGCTGCGGTGAAGCCTCGGACCATCGGCTGGGTGAGGACTGCAGGGCCTGCTCCCTTCCAGGGCCTTTTCCAACTGGCCCAGGGGGCGTGGCCCAGGCCCTTATTTGGAACAAACTTTCGGGGAAGTGTGGGAAGTGTTCTGCCATTGCTTCCCCGTTCCAGGTGATTAATGTGCTTTAAAATGTCCTCAAGCAGTCGGCAATTTAAATTTTTATTCCTTTTTTTCCTTTTTTCCTTTGTTGGGGGTGGGTGGGTGGGATGGATAGTTGGTTGGGGATTAATTTTAGTATAATTGTTCTGTTCCTTTTTGTTGTTGTTGTTTTATTGGTTCTGTATAGTTTGTGTTTTGTTTTTAAGGGGCGGGATCAGGGCTGCCTGGGAGTGGCTCCCCAGCCAACACGATGGCTGGGACAAGTTCCACAGGGGTGGAAGCACTGGGACATCTGATCTCGGTGATCATGGGCAGGAGGCGGAGTTACGCTAAGACCAGACCATGTCATTACCGAGGAGGCAGGTTTAGTCGTTGTTTGAAGACTATCCCTGCCTCCGGGTCTGGCCTTGACCGGATGGATACTGGAATCAACAGGGGAAACCCACATGACCTGAAAGTGTTGCTGTGCAATGCCAGGTCAATGATGAATAAAACCACTGCCATCCACGACTTGATTGTGGATGGAGGATTTAACCTGGCATGTGTGACAGAGACCTGGTTGGAGGAAGCAGATGGGCCTGTCCTTGCCGCTGCTTGCCCACCAGGTTTCTCTTACGCACAGCAACCCAGGTCATGTGGGCGGGGGGGGGGGGGATTGCAGTGATTTTTAGGAAGTCACTAGCTTGCACCAGGCGTCCTGCTGGGAAGATCCAGTTCTCTGAGTGCATGTTCTGGAAGTTGGGCAATAGGGGCAGTACAGGATTCCTTTTGGTGTACCGACCTCCCCGCTGCACCAAGGATTCCCTGTCCGAGCTGCTTCAGGTCGTGGCAGATTTTCTCCTGGAGACACCTAGTTTGGTTGTCCTAGGTGATTTTAACATCCATGCTGACACGACCTTACAAGGGGCCGCTCGGGACTTCGTGGAAAGCATGGCCTCCATGGGGCTGTCCCTGAATAAGTTTGGCCCAACTCATAGTCATGGACATGCCTTAGACCTGGTGTTCACCTCTAGTGACGTGGGTGATCTGACACTAAGTAAAAGTGAAACAAAAGAAGTGCCATGGTCAGATCACTTCCTGGTGCAACTGGACTTCTCCGCGACCCTTCCCCTCTGCAGGGAGGTGGGACCAATTCGGATGGTCCGCCCCCGCCACTTAATGGATCCAAATGGTTTCCAGAGAGTGGTAGGGGATGCTTTAGCCCATGTTGATGGCCTTTCAGCTGATTCCCTGGTGGCCCGCTGGAATGCGGAGTTAACCAGGGCTATCGACTGTCTGGCTCCGAGCGCCCTCTCCGATTGCATGGAGCCCGGACAGCCCCGTGGTTTTCTTCGGAGCTGAGGGCGATGAAACAATCGCTGAGACGGCTAGAGCGTCGGTGGCAGAAAACTCACTCCGAATCTGACCGGACACAGGTTAGAGCTCAACGTCGAGCCTACCAAGTGGCGATAGCGACGGCGAAGAAGACTTTCTTCACCGCCTCTATTGCATCTGCAGAAAATAGTAGCAGGAGACTCTTTCAGGTGGTTCGCAATTTAACGGAACCACCTTTACCACCGGGGCCTTGTAAAGACCCCAAGATCTCCTGCAACGATTTTGCAAAGTTTTTGCAGATAAAATCACTCATATTCGGAAGGAGCTAGACACCACCGTGGGAGCAGGGCCGGGGCGGGAGAGTGCTAGAGCTCTGTCTGGTCAAGTTGCATGGAATCAATTTCAATCCGTTACCCCCGAGGATGTGGACAGGCTGCTTGGACGCGTGAAACCAACCACCTGTCTCCTTGATCCTTGCCCATCCTGGCTAATAAAAGCAAGCCGGGAAGGGCTGGGCGATGGGCTCTGCGGGGTGGTGAATGCTTCCCTCTGTGAGGGACATTCCCAGATCCGCTGAAAGAGGCGGTCATTAAACCGCTTCTTAAAAAACCATCTTTAGACCCGGCCAGTATGGCCAACTATCGCCCAGTCTCAAATCTTCCATTCTTGGGCAAGGTGATTGAGCGCGTGGTTGCTGAACAACTCCAGGCACGCCTGGAGGATGCGGACCATTTGGATCCCTTCCAATCGGGATTCAGGCCTCACCATGGGACTGAAACTGCCTTGGTCGCACTGGTTGATGATCTCCGGCGAGCTAGGGACAAAGGTGAGAGTTGTTTCCTGGTTCTGCTGGATCTCTCAGCGGCCTTTGATACAATCGACCATAACATCCTTCTGGACCGTCTAGAGGGGCTGGGAGCTGGGGGCACTGTTATACAGTGGTTTCGCTCCTTCCTCCTGGGCCGTGTTCAGAAAGTGGTGGTGGGGGATGAGTGTTCAGACCCCTGGGCCCTCACTTGTGGGGTGCCTCAGGGTTCCGTCCTCTCCCCCATGCTTTTAACGTCTATATGAAGCCGCTGGGAGAGATCATCAGGGGATTTGGACTGGGTGTCCATCAATATGCAGATGATACCCAGCTCTACCTCTCTTTCAAATCAGAACCAGTGAAGGCAGTGAAGGTCCTGTGTGAGTGCCTGGAGGCGGTTGGAGGATGGATGGCGGCTAATGGATTGAAGTTGAATCCTGACAAGACAGAAGTATTGTTTTTGGGGGACGGGGGGGCTGGTGTGGAGGACTCCCTGGTCCTGAATAGGGTAACTGTGCCCCTGAAGGACCAGGTGCGCAGCCTGGGAGTCATTTTGGACTCACAGCTGTCCATGGAGGCGCAGGTCAATTCTGTATCCAGGGCAGCTGTCTACCAACTCCACCTGGTATGCAGGCTGAGACCCTACCTGCCCACGGACTGTCTCGCCAGAGTGGTGCATGCTCTAGTTATCTCCCGCTTGGACTACTGCAATGCGCTCTACGTGGGGCTACCTTTGAAGGTGACTTGGAAACTACAACTAATCCAGAATGCGGCAGCTAGACTGGTGACTGGGGGCGGCCGCCGAGACCACATAACACCGGTCTTGAAAGACCTACATTGGCTCCCAGTACGTTTCCGAGCACAATTCAAAGTGCTGGTGTTGACCTTTAAAGCCCTAAACGGCCTCGGCCCAGTATACCTGAAGGAGCGTCTCCACCCCCATCGTTCTGCCCAGACGCTGAGGTCCAGCGCCGAGGGCCTTCTGGCGGTTCCCTCATTGCGAGAAGCAAAGCTACAGGGAACCAGGCAGAGGGCCTTCTCGGTAGTGGCGCCCGCCCTGTGGAACGCCCTCCCATCAGATGTCAAAGCGATAAATAACTACCTGACATTTAGAAGACATCTTAAGGCAGCCCTGTTCAGGGAAGTTTTTAATCTGTGATATTTTACTGTATTTTTGGTTTCTATGGAAGCCGCCCAGAGTGGCTGGGGAAACCCAGCCAGATGGGCGGGGTACAAATAATAAATTATTATTATTATTATTATTATTATTATTATTATTATTATTATTAAGTAAAGCTGACAAGCCAAGCAAGGGGCAGCTTTTCTTTGTAATTCAAATTGCATATGGATTCTAAACATCCTGCTCAGGAGAAAAATCTCAATATTCATAGAATCCTGGAGGTGGAAGGACATCTAGTCTAACCCCCCTGCATGGCGGGAACCCAGTATAGGGTTCAAACCCACAACCCTGAGATTATGAGTCTCATGCTTTACCGACTGAGCTATCCAGGTGTCCAAGGTACTGTCAGGTTTAGCACCTCTCCTGCACAAGACACGAATCACTGGCAGTTCGACTGGTTGAGGTTTACGATTAACAACAGGCTTTCAGCAATCCGAGCTTCCCACAACTTATATCCCACTGTTAGAATCAGTTGACTCGACTGGCTTCTGGCCTCTTCCAAGGCCAGATATACGCCAAGCCTGCCCCCGCTTTCTGCTGGTCTTCCTTTGTTCTAATCGCTTGGTCCACCTCCTGCTTCTTGGAGACTCAGGTGCAGCCAATTCCTCCTCCAACCCTCTACTACCACCTGCATCCTGCTCCTTCATTTCTGTGTTGCTGCGAAAACTTACAGTCAGCAATCCAGAGCGAGAAGGGCTTATCTCACTTTCGTGGTGTGAATGAACCAAGTTCCTGTGATCCTCTGCTTCTTCCTCCCCCTCTGCAGAGTCCTCACTGCTGGCCATGTCTCTGACAGGTACATAAGAAGCAGCTTTATACCAAGTCAGACCATCGTTCCATCCAGCTCAGCAATGGCTAGTGGCTCCCCCAGCCCCGCCTGGAGATGCTTGGGATTGAACTTGGGACTGGCTGAATGCAGAGGAACAGTGGGAGGAACCAGCTGGGGAACAACCAAGGGGAAAAGGCTCAGAGCCTGGGGATTGGTGGTGGGACAATGATGAGTGGTCACAGGAAGAAGATTGGGAAGAGGAGATGTCGGAAGCTGAAAAGGTAACAGGGTGTCTGTGGCAAAGAGAAGTCCAGACTCAAAGACAGAAGCTGAAGCAAGAGAGGAGGGAGGCCAAGAGGCAGAGATGGGTCCGCCTGCTGGAGAGGCATGGTTATCTCCCACTCCTGCTGCAATAAGCTCACCTTCTCTCTTGGTCTCTCAGAACCAGAAGAGGCATGAAAAGGGCAGAGGAGAGGTTGTCTTCACTCAGGCGCAGTCTCTGGTTGCTTGAGAAAAACCCTGGAAAGGAAGGGACTTAGAAGGCTGTGGGGAGGCAAGGACTTTCAGTCTTGGCAACTGATCCATGCCGTAAGACCTACTGGGAATGAGCTGCTATGCTCATTAGACCCAACACTCAAGCCAAGTCTGTGCAGATGTTGTTCTTGCTAATACAGTGGTACCTCGGGTTAAGTACTTAATTCGTTCCAGAGGTCTGTTCTTAACCTGAAAGTGTACTTAACCTGAAGCACCACTTTAGCTAACGGGGCTTCCTGCTGCCGTCGCGCCACTGGAGCACGATTTCTGTTCTCATCCTGAAGCAAAGTTCTTAACCTGAAGCACTATTTCTGGGTTAGCGGAGTCTGTATCCTGAAGCGTATGTAACCTGAAGCGTATGTAACCCAAGGTACCACTGTAGTTAACTCCAACTTGAGAAGTGTGATTTACTGCCGGCTCGTTCCTGACACAAAGCAGATACTCTACCATTAAGCTATTGTCCTTCTCCTCAACATGGGTGCACAAAGAAAACTGCCTGATGCTGAGTCAAGACCCACTGCTCCATCTCGCTCAGTATTGCCTACACTGACTGGCAGCGACTCCCTTGGATTTGAGGAAGGGGTCTTCCCCAGTCCTGCCTGGAGATGCCTGGGATTGGACCTGGGGGCTCTCTGTGTGAGGCTGCTGCCCTGCTGCTGAGTCACGGCCCTTTCCCAACTGCATGATGGCAAAAAGCAAGGCTTTGGGGGGAAAAACACAGTTCCTTGAAAGCAAGCTTTCTCCAGCCAGGTGCACAAAGGAGGGAGGCTTAATGGGAAGGGACAGCAGTGATGAGATGTAGAAAACAGGTCTGGGCAGCAGCACCCTTGTTATTTCTAAGGGGGACAGGGAAGCGGTTAGGAGTTAATAGGTTTACATACTGCAGGTGCACCACGAAGGAATCCTAGAATATAAATCATTGGTTACCAATCAATCTTCATCCCTAGGATGCCTAGCAAGGGAGAGGTGCAATTTGAGGCAATCCACTGGCTAAAAAGTTACCTGCCTCTTTTGGATTGATATGCCTTGTAATCCCCAAAGGCCAACCAGGGAGCTGATGCAGTGGAGAGAGTGGAAGAATAGAGACATCAGGGGAACAGGGAAAGAGAGATGGAAAACTTGTGGGAAAATGAAAGGATCTTGATTTCCTGGGCAGCTGCCTTACGTCAAGTCACACTAAAAACTCCTTATATTGTTGGCACTGTCTGTCTCTTAGGATCTCTGGCAGGGGGTCTTTCAAAAGACATCTAACCTTTCCAAAGACCTCTAACCCGGGAAACCTCAGGGCCAGGGGGGGTCATGGCACCCTCCATGCCTCTTGGCTTGTCTCTTGGGACTCTTCCCAGGCTGAACTGCTCACTGGCCCTGCTGTAGGCCCACTTCTAGTGACTCTGCTTGGCTGGAATATGAGTTTTGGGTGCCAAAATTATGGAATACCAGCCTAAAATTTACATCATGTACATTGTTAAAAGAAAATCTGTTAAAAATGATGTACAGATGGGAAACCAGTAGAATTAAAATAATATCTCATAACGGGAAAATACAAGAAATTTACTGGATAATAATATCAAAATGAATTAAAAATGTATATTAGGATTATTACTGAACAATATTTGTAAATGAATATAGACAGACAGCAGGAATTTGTATATATAGAAAGATTTATTTGTTTACGGACATTTAATGAAAAAATGAAGAAGAACAATCTTGTGGAAAATGGACAAAGACAATGCGAAAAGTCACAAGAGGACACAAAAAAGCCAGAAGAAGGAAGGAGGGAAGTCAGCTTGGGAGAGCAAGAACAAAATGTGAAATATAATGTATGTATATGTACAGTATGTAACTAAAAATTCAATAAAGATAATCTGGAAAGAAAAAAAAAAAAAGATGGGTGCCAGACCCCTTTAATCTCTGGATCCAGTAAGTGTGAAAATATAATCTAATCAAGAAAATCTAATCAAACCAAGCTAGTTTCCTGGTTAAGGGAAAGCTCAGAGGTCCAGAGCTTAGAGTTGAGGGTGAGCAGTGATGTGAGCTAGAAGCAAAGCAGCAAGGAGAGAGAGAGAGAGAGAGAAAGAGAGAGAGAGAGAGAGAGAGAGAGAGAGAGAGAGAGAGAGAACCATGCCAGATCTGTGTTTAAATGCAAGGCTGTGGCTATGGGGAAAACAGGACTATTTTGGGGGGTGTTAGCGCTGTGAGCCCCTCCATCACAGGCTCAGGTTCTATATATGTGTGTAAATAAACCATTTATCCTAAAGACACCACAGTCTCTACTGTGTCTCATTTCCAAAAGGAAACACAAACCCTGGGTAGCGCCTGGAACCTCTGGAATCTCTCACTTTTCTGAGATTGTGGTGGCATGCAAGAGTATCTTCAAATTATAATAAGGCATCTTGTTTATCTGGATGGGGGATGGAGGCTGTGTGTGTGTGTGTGTGTGTGTGTGTGTGTGTGTACCTCTGGCATTCACATAACTGGAATGTAACTTACCATGCAAAGTAACTGTTGCCCCACCCACTTTTGTCTCTGGCCCCACCCACCACTAGCATGTGGTTCTCCAAAGGTTTTCCATGAAGCAATGTGGCCCTTGGGCTGAAAAATGGCCCCCTGCTCCTTTTCTACTTGATCTACAACAAAATAAGCACCAGAATATTTCCGGTATATATGATACGGGATTTCAGCAGGAAGATACGGGATATGAACTGATAGGCAACAAAGCAGTATGCCCATCCCAAAAACCTTTGCAGGTGGAAGAAGTGTTAAAAATGGATGGTGTATGAGTGCCCCGACACAATCATGAGCACAAATAATCATGAATGCATAATAAAATTATGGTGCCTGAAGGTCTTTCATTCAGATTTAGGAATCAAGCCATTCACGTTGCTCCTGCAAGATGAAGGCAAGGCTGCCAACTAAAACAAACTGATGGGTTATTTGAAAATGGACAAGCCTGAACAAACATACCACAAAAGCACAGAGGAGCATCATTCAACCTGCAAACCCTCCATTTCATAGCCATTCTAAGAAATTAATTTCCGTGGGCAAAGGTGGGGAGAAGAACCTGGAACAGATAAGACTGAGAGGTGATGTGGTAGCCATCTTCAAATATGTGAAGGGCTGCAACACATGGAAGAAGGAGCGAGCTTGTTTTCCACTGCTCCAGAGGATCGGACTCAAACTAATGGATCAAAATGACAATAGAAGATCCCAACTCACAATAGGAAGAGCTTTCTGATGACAAGAGCTTGTTCAACAGGGCAACGGACTCCCTTAGAAGGTGGTGGACTCTCTTTCTTTGGAGGTTTTGCTTCTTGGCTCTGCTGAGAAGCCAACTCCATCAGGTTCCTCCTTTCACCAACTGCCATCCGGGAGCAGCCCTCCCATCAGGCTGCTGCTGAGGGAGAGAAGGTGCACTCCATCCACTCTGCCGAAGGAGTAGCACAGGCATAGGCAAACTCCGACCCTCCAGATGTTTGGGACTACAATTCCCATCATCCCTAGCTAATAGGACCAGTGGTCAGGGATGATGGGAATTGTAGTCCCAAACATCTGGAGGGCCGGAGTTTGCCTATGCCTGGAGTAGCAGCTCTCGGTGTGTGTCCCTTCCTCAAACCATTTCGCTTCTGGCTGGCCTTATGGAGAACTTAGAATCATAGAAATGTAGAGTTAGAAGGGACCGCAAGGGCCATCTACTCCAACCCTTTGCAATGTGGGAATCCAGCCACAGCTGTCCCTAAAGGTAAAGGGACCTCTGACCATTAGGTCCAGTCATGGATGACTCTGGGATTGCAGCACGCATCTCGCTTTACTGGCCAAGGGAGCTGGCGTACAGCTTCTGGGTCATGTGGCCAGCATGACTAAGCCACTTCTGGCAAACCAGAGCAGCACATGGAAATGCTGTTTACCTTCCCGCCGGAGTGGTACCTATGTATCTACTTGCACTTTGATGTGCTTTCGAACTGCTAGGTTGGCAGGAGCTGGGACCGAGCAACAGAATCTCACCCTGTGGCAGGGATTTGAACTGTCGACCTTCTGATTGGCAAGCCCTAGGCTCTGTGGTTTAACCCACAGCACCACCCGCGTCTCACAGTGGATGCAAAAAAATTGGGGGGGGGGGGGCTGGGGGCTGGAATTTTTGTTAAAAAAGAACTTCAAATAAATTAATAATGAATTGTCATCCCAGGTGGTAAAGTTCTAGTCCTATGCACACCTAACTGTGAGAGTGGGAGCAGCTTACTGGTATTTATATCATGTACCTCTTGCTTTTAAGTAAATGAGATACTCCTAAAAATGCTAGTGGAAGTCAAATGCATTTGTCTGATCACAGTCTAAAAGATACATGGCTTCCGGGAAGGAAAGTAGAATATGTACCAGGTTGAAGATATACTGTTGACAAGTTCAGTGTTATTATAAACTTACTCAAACATCCAAATTTATTGGTAGCCCTTAATTGCATTATAGGAATATTTATTTTCTGAGCTTTCTGCCTAAAAATATGAGTTCCATCTGCTTTGGCATGATCGCGTTGAGGTCCGCATACGCTTTCTGAGCCCACATAATAAAACCTTGCTTTGTTTACTTCAGTGTTGACAGTTTCCATTTCAACTTGGTTTTTTTCACCCCTATTTTCCCAACCGGCAAAAACAAAGATGTATTAGAGGTTCCATAAGCCGAGGCAGCTTGCGGCTCTCTCTCTATGACACGGGATGCATTTTTAATTGGTGATTGAAGAACATTAAGGGATTTATACTTGTCAAATTCTAATGGTACAATTGCTCAAGTAACTGAGACATATACAAGGCATTTCATATTTGTAGGATGCAAATATGGCCCCTGGGAAGATGCGGCGTGGCATCAAGCAAAATGGCTGCCATGGAGGCATCGCATACCTCAAAATGGCTGCCACAACCAAAGAACAGAAAAAGAGACAGCACCACGAAATGGTGTGGGATGCCCCTACACCAGCCACCCATCAACGGTGGGAAGGAGAAGCACCTACACCAACCACAGTCAATCAGAGAGAGAAACCTTTTACACCTCTGTTCATTACAAAAGGGCGGGCAGTTGTCCAAACTTGGCATCCCATGAAAAGCGGAAATGTTTAAGCAATATGTGCATGTTCAACATAGGCGAAGACCGAGTCTGTGCATTGCATTGTGGATTCTCGAAGATATATTTCACTGAGACCATTAGTGGGTGTCCCAGAAAGTGCTTTGGGGCACACTAGCACCTGCAGTGGCCGTTGAGACCATATAACACTGGTCCCGAAAGACCTACATTGGCTCCCACTATGTTTCCAGGCACAATTCAAAGTGCTGGTGCTGACCTTTAAAGACCTAAATGGCCTCGGCCCAGTATACCTGAAGGTGCGTCTCCACCTGCATTGCTCAGCCCAGACACTGAGGTCCTTCTCAGAGGGCCTTCTGGTGATTCCCTCACTGCAAGAAGCGAAGTTACAGGGAACCAGGCAGAGGGCCTTCTCAGTAGTGGCACCCTCCCTGTGGATTGCCCTCCCACCAGATGTCAAAAAAATAAACAACTATCTGACTTTTAGAATACATCTGAAGGCAGCCCTGTTTAGGGAAGCTTTTAATATTTGCTGAATTATTGTACAGTGGTACCTCAGGTTAAGAACTTAATTCGTTCTGGAGGCCCATTCTTAACCTGAAACTGTTCTTAACCTGAGATACCACTTTAGCTAATGGGGCCTGCCGCTGCCACCCCGCTGCGCGATTTCTGTTCTCACCCTGAAGCAAAGTTCTTAACCTGAGGTACTATTTCTGGGTTAGCGGAGTCTGTAACCTGAAGTGTTTGTAACCTGAAGCGTCTGTAACCTGAGGTACCACTGTATTTTAATATTTTGCTGGAAGCTGCCCAGAGCGGCTGGGGAAACCCAGCCAGATGGGCAGGGTATAAATAATAAATGGTGATGATGATGATGATGATGATGCAGGCAGCACATTGACAACTAAGCCAACAGCAGTCGGGGTTGCCAAAGCACAGCCAAGGAACGCTGTGGCGTCAAAACCAATTACCCATTTGCTAGGAGGCAGTTGCAGCCAAGACCTATATCTGTACCAGTTACGGTATGTTTCATTTATGTATGCTGCTTGCGCAAGGACGTGAGGCTGACGTCACAGCACACAGGTCTGCCCCCTACGACAAGGGATGATGCGGCTGTCACACAAACTGACCTTGCACTTTTGTACAACTGAGAATCACAGGCGTTGCTTATTCAGTCCCATTCTCTGTTGAGCTGCCTGCAGCCTGTAATTTGTACGTTCCTTCCTCTCCTCATCCTACATACGGCCGGCATTACTTATGTTCGGGGAGACAGCTATTTTGTAAATTATTCAACCCAGGAGCGGTTCGACTGTAAACAAGAGAAAGCGGTAGTGGAAATGGGAACATACAATTTATTGCAGGAATTAAAAAATGGGGTGGGGGAGAGAGAGAGATACCTAAGCAAAATGAGTTTAAAGAATAATTATAATGTGCCTGGTGAAAGGAACTGTATTGACTGCATTGAATACTGACAGCTGTTTACTACCCAGAACTGGAAATAGTAATTTGTGGCTAACGCTTCTGGATGTTTTATTTATTGGATTTTAATTCCCCCTTCCTTCAAGAGAAGCATGAGGAAAACCCAACTGGATCAAACCAAAGACACATCACGTCCAGGATCCCATCTACTGGAAGCCCACCAGCACAGCCATGCTCCCCAGTTGCAATTCCCAGTATGTTGCCCCCTACAAGCAGAATAGAGCCAGACATCATAAACCCAGTTAATAGGAAAAAGCTTATTTCAAATGCCTCCTGCGAAAATAAAGGAAAGTCTTCACCGAGCCCTGAAAGTTGAACAGGGAGGAAAAAAATTCTGCAGAATTGAGACCACAGTACTGAACCAGACTGTCCAAGTGTCCCTGTTTTCCAGGGACAGTCCCTGATTTAGAGAAGCCATCCTGGTTTCTGATTTGATCCCAGAATGTCCTGCTTTTCCCTATTTCCATCAGAGAAATGTTGGAGGGCATGTTAGGACATCCTTATTTTCATTGGAAGGTATGGAGTTATGCGACCCCCGAGCCAAGGAGATAAGTAACTTTACAACCTTTAGAAGATATCTGAAGGCAGCCCTGTACAGGGAAGGTGTTTTTTAAAAAAATGTTTAATGTTTTATTATGTTTTTATATCTGTTGGAAGCCTCCCACAGTGGCTGGGGCAACCCTGTCATATGGATGGGGTATAAACAATTATTATTATTATTATTATTATTATTGAATAGGACGCCCCTATTTTCATCAGAGAAATGTTGGAGGGTATGCAGAACTCACAATCCTGGTGGAAATGAGCTGTGTGTCTGACCCACCGGGGTCCACTAGCAGTGATTCCTCCCAAAACCTCGGTGGTTGGGTAGGGATATAAGTCACCAAGCAGACCTGAAGGTATCTTGGGTCCAAGTTGCAAATGGCCTTGTATATTAACACAAGGACCCTGAACTTGGCCGTGTAGCATGTGGGCAGCCAACATAAGATTTCCAAGCTCTGAGATCAGAACTGGGAAAGGACATCTGTTGAAGCAACTTCCCAGGCTACCAGTCTGTTTCTAGACACAAATCCAAGTGATGGTTACAACCTATAGCAGGGGTCAGCAAACTTTTTCATCAGGGGGCCGGCCCACTGTCCCTCGGACCTTGTGGGGGGCCAGACTATATTTTTTTTTGGGGGGGGGGGGGATGAACAAATTTCTATGCCCCACAAATAACCCAGAGATGCATTTAAAATAAAAGGACACATTCTACTCATGTAAAAACACGCTGATTCCCGGACCATCCGCGGGCTGGATTTAGAATGTGATTGGGCCGGATCCGGCCCCTGGGCCTTAGTTTGCCTACCCATGACCTATACAGTGGTACCTTGGGTTACATATGCTTCAGGTTACATACGCTTCAGGTTACAGACTCCGCTAACCCAGAAATAGTGCTTCAGGTTAAGAACTTTGCTTCAGGATGAGAACAGAAATCGTGCTCTGGCGGCACGGCAGCAGCAGGAGGCCCCATTAGCTAAAGTGGTGCTTCAGGTTAAGACCAGTTTCAGGTTAAGTACAGACCTCCGGAACGAATTAAGTACTTAACCTGAGGTACCACTGTAGTCATATGGCTTGGGCCCAAGTTACCTGAAAGAGTGTATACCCCTTTATGAACCTGCCCTGGTGCTAAGCCCCTCAACATCAGAGGCACAGTTAGTGGTGACACAAGAGAAAGCCTTTTCTGGGGCTGCTCCCAGATTCTGGAATTCCCAATAGAGGTTAGACTGGATCCCTCCTTGCCATCTTTCCAGCAGCAGGCTAAAACCTCCCCATTCAGACAGGTCTTTGGAAACTAAGGTACAGGGGATCCTGATCCCTGGGCAAACCATACTATAATGCTGTTTTTTTTAATGTGTATTTGAACTACAGTGGTACCTCAGGTTAAGTACTTACCGGTAATTCGTTCCGGAGGTCCGTTCTTAACCTGAAACTGTTCTTAACCTGAAGCACCACTTTAGCTAATGGGGCCTCCTGCTGCTGCCGCGCCGCCAGAGTATGATTTCTGTTCTCATCCTGAAGCAAAGTTCTTAACCTGAAGCACTATTTCTGGGTTAGCGGAGTCTGTAACCTGAAGCGTATGTAACCTGAGGTACCACTGTATTGCTTTTAACTCATTTGTTTTCATTCCTTTGCATTTTATAATGATTTTTTTTTTTAAACGCTGGAAGCCACCTTGAATCCCAACTTAACAAAGGCAGGATTATAAATATTAAACAGAATCACAGAATTGTACAGTTGGAGGGAACCACAAGGGTCAATTACTCCAACTGCCTGCAATTCAGGAATCTTTTGCCTCATGTGGGGCTCAAACCCACTACCCTGAGATTAAGCGCCTCATGCTCTACTGACTGAGCTATCCATAAACGAAGAACCTTGAAAAAAAAAGAAAAGAAAAGAAAACCCCTTTTGAGTTAAATAAATGCTCTATAGAACATTTTAGGATAGGAGGCGAAGTTTCCCTCTGCTCCGTCATTTGTCTGAAAAGCAGTGAAAGAAAAGATTCCCGTGGCAGAAGGCGAGGATTTTAAACTTTCAGCTACTGGCATGTTGGGAAGAGAGTATTATCTCCTTCAAACCTCTTTGACACACAGCACTCTGTCTCTTCTGCGGCCTGCCATGGGATTTTTCTTCAATTAGCTCTCTCTCAGCCTTGGCTCCCTTCTAGGGAAAGCCTCCATTTGGAGGGAACGAACCATCACCTCGCTGGAGGGAGTTGCTCCCGAGAAGCAGCAGAGGCAGAGAAATGAGTCCTTGGGTGCCTCTGCTCCCATTGAAAACAGAGGTTTCATCAGCGCCAACTGATGGTCAGCGGAATCCCAGCGGCGCCCACTTCCCCTGCCAATTAGGCCAAGCAGAGCCTCTCAAGTGAAAGAAAAATGAAAATAATTTGTTCTCTCTCTCTCGTGCGCTTGTGCTCGTGTACAGAGACACCAACCAACCCACCCGCTCGCTCAAATGAAAGCCAACCAGCTGTGTCCCCTGCGTCTGTCCTGCTTTTGGCTCATTTGCTCAGCGGCACATGGCAGTTCCCTTTCCCACATGCGGCTGTCTGTCCACAAATCCTTTTCCGCACAGCCATCTCACCTCAATTCCCAGGACACCACAGGGCCAGACAAATGACATCTTCTTTTCTTAAAAAGTGCCATTGCGGTACAAGAGAATCGTTTCATGGTGTTTCATTTGGGAGTTTGGCTCACCATCTGCCCATATAACAACAACACCATGGGCTGCGTGGAGTTTCTTTCAAATGTGGTGCAGTGGTTAGAGTTTCGGACCTGGGAGACCAGAGCTCAAATCCACATTCACCCACGAAGCTGACGGGGTGACCTTGGGCCAGTTACTGCCTCTCAGCCTAAACTGGGATGTTGCAGGGACTAAATGAGGGAGGAAAAGAACCACATCTTGCTCAGTATGGTCGATCCATGGTCTACTTTAGGTAAAGGTAAAGGGACCCCTGGCCATAAGGTCCAGTCATGGCCGACTCTGGGGTTGTGGTGCTCATCTCACTTTACTGGCCAAGGGAGCCGGCATGCAGCTTCCGGGTCATGTGGCCAGCATGACTAATCCGCTTCTGGTGAACCAGAGCAGCGCACGGAAATGCCGTTTACCTTCCCACTGGAGTGGTACCTATTTATCTACTTGCACTTTGATGTGCTTTCGAACTGCTAGGTTGGCAGGAGCAGGGACTGAGCAACGGGAGCTCACCCCGTCGCGGGGATTCGAACCGCCGGCCTTCTGATTGGCAAGTCCTAGGCTCTGTGGTTTAACCCACAGTTCCACCTGCATCCATGGTCTGCTTTAATATATGGCAATTTCTTATGGTTTTTTTTTTTTTTTGCTGGGGAGGCAATAACTCACGGGTAGGGCACTTGCTTCGTAGACAACGAGCTTAAGCTGAGTCAGCAGTGTGATGCAGCAGCAGAAAAAGCTAATGCAGTTTTAGTCTGCATCAGTGGAAGTATAGGGTCCACAAGGGACTTAATAGTAATATTTTGCCTTGGTCAGACCGCATCTGGAGTCCTGTGTCCAGTTCTGAGCACCACCATTTAAGAAGGATGTCAACAAGCTGGAAAGTGGGCAGAGGAGGGCGTCCAAGATGATCAAGGGTATGGAAAGCAAGCCTTATGAGGAACAGTTGAGGGATCTGGGTATGTTTAGCCTGGAAAAGAGGAGACTGAGAGGAGCTATGATAGCCACCTTCAAAGATCTAAAGGGCTAAATTGCATGGGAAATGGAACAAGCTTGTTTTCTCCTGCTCCAGAGGGCAGGAATCGAATCAGTGGCTTCAAGTTATGAGAAAGGAGATTCCAACTAAATATCTGGAAGAATTGGTAAGAGCTGTTTGACAGTGGAACGTACCTCAGGAAGTGGTGGGCTCTCCTTCACTGGAGATATTTAAACATGGCCATCTGTCAGGAATTATTTAGCTGTGATTCCTGCATTGCAGAGGGTTGGACTAGATAACCCTTGGTGTCCCTCTCCACTCTAGAGTTCTGTGCTCTATGCAAAAGGTCCAAGCTTCAATCCCTGTCACCCTGAGATAGATCTAGGATTGTCCCTTGTATGACACCTTGGAGAGCCTCTGCCAGTCAGTGTAGAGAATACTGCGCTAGATAGATCAATTGTCGGACTCAGTATAAAGCAACATCCTATTCTCTTGCATTCCTTGTTTATTCAATGGCTGCTTTGGGATTCAATATTTCAGCTATGCGGCTGGGTTTAATTTGGGGGTTGTTATCTGGTTATCTGTTTTGTAGCATTCTGTTAACTGATGTGGATGCCACTTCTTTACAAAATTAGGCAGGCTAGATTTATTTGTAAATAAAAGCATGAAACAAAATTAAGAGGAGTCCTGCCATTCAAAAGTCACAGACCCTAACAGGAGAAGAGGAAGCCAGCAGCTGGTTAAAGCCTTGGAAGAGAGAAAATGAGATGCATGAAGAAAGCCCACTGGCATGTGCCAAAAGTGGAAATTCTGCCAAAGCCCCTAGATAATGGTGGTAATCCAGAATAATTAGTTCATGTCCCAGGCATTGTTGCCAGTGCTGCGGGTTAAGTGCATGTCTAAAAGCATTTTGAACAGCAGCAGTTGATCTGCCAAAGGGGGACACAAAGACATAACATCAGAATTGCCCATATGAATAATCTTGCATTGCCTAGGTGCCAGGTATGCTGGCGTGTTCCTTAAAGCTCTTGCAGACACATACGCCGGTCATCAGCCTCCTGTGTATTCTCTAAACAGACAGAGATCCAAGAGGATGCCTCAGCGAAAGATGCTTTCTGAGCCCAGGAAATGCAAGGTTCTGCTTTTCTTAGCATGAGAATCTCTTCTGCCATTGCTCCAGGGGACAGCAGGAAGGGAAACATAACCAAGAGTGTCACAAGAAAGCAGAGAGTTATCTGTCTCGACTTCACAGATTATCCGTTTTAAAAATGCAACAGGAAGCAGAGGCTCGAGGGAGATGGAAAGCAGCTCTCTCTCTCTCTCTCTCTCTCTCTCTCTCTGGCCAGTTTTCTAAGAAGCTTGACACAAACTGCAGACTTCCTTGCATGGTGGAATGGCTTCAGCAAGCTTCTCTCACCTGGTGCCTTCCAGATGTTCGGACTAGATTAGGAATAAGGAATCTGTGGCCCTCCAAATGTTGCAAAGCTACATCTCCCATTATTTTAGATCATTGGCCATGTTTGCAGGGGCTGGTGCAATCTGGAATCCCATCACATTTGACTGAATGATCGGGGGGGGGGGACTGAGCATCTCCCCTATGAAGAACGGTTGCAGCATTTGGGACTTTTTAGTTTAGAGAAAAGGTGAATAAGAAGGGAAACGACAGAAGTTTATAAAATCATTCATGGTCTTGAGAGAGTAGGTAGAGAAAAGTACTTCTCCCTCTCTTGGACATCTAACAAAGCTGAAGATTTAGGACAGGTAAAAGGATTTCTTCATGCAATACATCGTCAACTATGGAACTCGCTCCCCCATGAGGCAGTGATGGCCCCCAATTTGGGTGGTCTTAAAGAGGACTGGAACGCGGGTGGCGCTGCGGGTTAAACCACAGAGCCTTAGGCTTGCCGATCAGAAGGTCGGTGGTTCGAATCCCCGCGACGGGGTGAGCTCCTGTTGCTCGGTCCCTGCTCCTGCCAACCTAGCAGTTTGAAAACATGTCAAAGTGCTAGTAGATAAATAGGTACCACTCTGGCGGGCAGGTAAACGGCATTTCCATGCGCTGCTCTGGTTCGCCAGAAGTGGCTTAGTCATGCTGGCCACATGACCCGGAAGCTGTACGCTGGCTCCCTCGGCCAATAAAGCGAGATGAGTGCCCAGAGTCGGCCACAACTGGATCTAATAGTCAGCGGTCCATTTACCTTTTTAAAAGAAGACTACAGACATTCCTGGGACGTGGGTGACGCTGTGGGTTAAACCACAGAGCCTAGGACTTGCCGATCAGAAGGTCGGTGGTTCGAATCCCTGCAATGGGGTGAGCTCCCGTTGCTCGGTCCCTGCTCCTGCCAACCTAGCAGTTCGAAAGCACATCAAAGTGCAAGTAGATAAATAGGTACCGCTCCAGTGGGAGGGTAAACGGTGTTTCCGTGCACTGCTCTGGTTCGCCAGAAGCGGCTTAGTCATGCTGGCCACATGATCCGGACGCTGTACGCTGGCTCCCTCGGCCAATAAAGCGAGATGAGCGCTGCAACCCCAGAGTCGGTCACGACTGGACCTAATGGTCAGGGGTCCCTTTACCTTTACAGACATTCCTGGAAGAGAGGGCTATCACAGCTGGAGGCAGCAATGCTTCTGAATTCCATTTCCTGGGAACCACAAGAGGGGAGTCGCTTGGACCCTGTTTGCTGGTTTCCCAGAGGCATCTAGTCAGCCACTATGAGAACAGGATGCTGGACTAGATAGGTCATTGGCCTGATCCAGCGGGCTCTGTGGTTGGGCAACCTGTAGTCCTCCAGATGTTGCAGGACTACAACTCCCATCACCCTTGAGCGTTGGTCATGTTGGCAGGAGCTGATGGCAGTTGGACAATATCCACAACATCTGGAAGGCCACTGTTCCCCATTCTCTGGAATAGATGCACCCCTTTGTCCCCATTCAGCAGGGACCGTCTTATATTTTTTTATTCAGAAGTGGTGCAGTCTGGGACGTTGGTGTTAATTTATAACATCCTTTTGTGGATAAAACGCCTCTTAATATAAGTTATCTGGGTGTTTACAGATTTGTTTATTTTTTTTAAAAGCATAACAATAAAACAATGCTCTAATAAAAACCCAACACAGATTCCAAAATATCCAGCCAGCAAAAGTCAAATATAAGTGACCGGCACAATAGAATGCAATGAAAAGCAGTGAAGCTAA